CTCTACCGCTGAGCCACAACTCCAGCTCTATTTATTTATTTTTATGTGGTGCTGAGGAACTCAGTGTCTCACAAGTGCTTGGCAAGTGCTCTGCCACTGAACCACAACCCAGCCCCTCATTTCTTTTTCTTTCTTTCTTTCTTTCTTTTTTTTTTTTTTTTGATGGTACTGGGAATTGGACCCAGGGATACTTAACCACTGAGCCACATCTCCAGCCTTATTGTATTTTATTTAGAGTCAGGGTCTCACTGAGTTGCTTAGTGCCTTGCCTTTGCTGAGGCTGGTTTTGAATTGGCGATCCTCCTGCCTCAGCCTCCTGAGCTGCTGGGATTGATATARGCATGTGCCAYTGCGCCTGGCAAATATATCATACACTTCTTAACCATCATCTTCAATGCTCCCACCCATCTCTTCTGTCCTTAGGAAATCACTAATCTATTTTATGTCTCTTTAGATTTATATTATAGAGTAGAAATAACTAAGGCTGGGGATATAGCTCAGTTGGTAGAGTGCTTGCCTTGTGTGCTCAAGGCCCTGGGTTCAATTCCCAGCAACACACACACACACACACACACACACACGAGAAAAAAAAAATAACTATTCTGGATATGTCATTAATGGAATCATACAATGTGTTGTCTTTTGTTACTGGCTTCTTTCACTCAGCATAATGTCTACAGCTTTTTTCCCTAGTGTAGCATATATCAGTATTTCATTTCTTTCTCCCTAAATCAGGAAGTCTATTTAGGCACTATGATTGATGAGACAGTGGTGAAAAGGAAAAGTTACCTGCTTATATGTAAGAGAAAAGCATTGCAGGTAAGCCCTCTGATAAAAAATAGACACTTTTTCTCCTTGGTGCTGAAAATCAGACCCAGGACCTCCCTAATGCTAGTCACATCTCTACCACTGAGCCAAACCTTCATCCTCCCTCTCAGAGAAAAAAATAGAACAGTTGATAAGTGATTGGCTAAATAGTTTGGATAGACSACTGGGGAGACTTGTTTTGAGAGGTGACACATGGTTGAAGATCAGAAAGACACGAAAGAGTGAGCCATACAGTGATGGATCAGCTAGAAGAGTTTTTCAAGCAGAAAGAAGAGTGCAAAGAGTCAGGAACAAGCCTCATGTTTACAAGGGAAGAACATCAGAACATCAGTGCTGGAAAAGAATAGGAAAAGAACCAGAAGAGCAGAAGTATTTATCAGCGAATAACAGAACAGTTTGTGGATAGGCTGCATTTTGTTTATCCATTAATCAGTTGCTGGGTATTTGGTTTTTTCCCACTCTGCTGTGAGAGCGCTGCTGTGAATGCACATGCCCAAGTCTTTCTGTGTGCTTTCTGCAGTAGCCTCATTGTTGAGTCATGGGATGGCTCTAGAACCCAAAGGTTTACACGGGGAGGGACTGCAGGTCAGTGTGACTGGACTATTTCACATTTCCACTAACAGTGTATGAGGGTCCATTTTCTCCACTCCTCACC